AAAGCATGAGTACGAGCGCCATACGGCTATCCAAACGAATCTGATGACTTTGATAGACGATATTGAGACTTAGGATGCCTCTAAGACGTAACCGGCGGCAGTACGAGCAGCTGACAGACTTTGATAGGGGCCGTATAATAGGCCTCAGAGATGCAGGTTGGTCGAATAGACGTATCGGCCGCCACCTCGGTCGGAGCGATATGGTAGTTGCTCGGTGTTGGCAACAGTGGATCACAGAAGGTAGAGTGTACCGTCGCGGAGGGTCAGGACGTCCCAGGATAACAAATGATCGCGAGGATCATGCAATCAGAAGAGTGGCCACTTCGGCACCAACAACGTCGCTAGCATCGATTTAACGCCACTTACCTCCTTCCAGACATCCAGTGCCATCAAGAGAAACCATAAGGAGACGACTGACCGAAGTTGGCTTGAGGAGCCGACGTCCGCTAAGACGCTTACCACTGACCCCACATCATAGGCAGTGTCGACTGGATTTTGCCGACCTCGGGCAACTTGGAGTGTGACAGACTGGAGACGTGTCATCTTCAGTGATGAATCCCGATTCAGTCTCAGTGCTGATGACCACCGCACACGTGTCTGGAGGCGCATCGGCCAGCGATCCGATCCGGCATTTATTGTCGAGCGGCATACAGCAATTTCACAAGGTGTGACAGTGTGGGGAGCAATTTCTTGGGACACACGATCATCTTTAGTGGTCCTTTAAGGCACTTTGACAGCTCGCAGATACGCGGACGATATTTTAACGCCGATTGTGCTACCCATGCTATCAAGTCGCCCAGGTGCCATTTATCAACAGGATAATGCTCGTCCACATACTGCGCGACTCTCCCAACAATGTCTTCAAGGATATGACGTCCTACCATGGCCTGCCAGGTCACCAGATCTTTCGCCAATAGAGCATGTCTGGAACGCGCTGGGAAGGCAACTGCAGCCGTCCCGAGATACAGGAGAATTAACTGTGCAGATGCAAAGACTATGGCAGGATGTTCCACAGGGGGTAATAAGTGATCTAATTGAATCGATGCCACGCCGAATTTCGGCTTGTATAGCTGCCAGAGGTGGCTTTTACTACTTACTGATTTTTAACCTTTTGCAAGCTGTAACCGCTTAATAAAATGATATTTTGTTCTGAATTTTTAATCATTTGTTTATTTTCATATACACTACATGCATACCAAATTTCGTGAATGTAGCTCAATTTCTTCTGGGTGCATATATTTTTTTGCGACAGAGTGTATATACAAAACGTGAAGTTTTAAGTGTAATTGCTAAGCTATACGACCCTTTGGGTTTCTTAGGCTCAGTGATTGCGAAATCAAAGGTGTTTCTGCAGCAATTATGGCAATGTAAACTGGATTGGGATGATATGTTACCTAATTCAATTGCCAACGAGTGGAGGGAATTTGTGACAACATTAAAATGTATCGAGGAAGTGAAAATTAACAGATTTATTATGGCTGACAATAATGTTAGAATCATTCTCCAAGGATTTGCGGATGCATCTGAAGCGACCTACGGAGCGGTCGTTTACCTACAGTGTTTTCTTCACAACGGTGTTGCCAAAGTGAGCATTCTTGCCAGCAAATCTTGTGTTGCACCAATTCGAGTTATTTCCATACCTCGACTCGAGCTTTGTGCCTGTGTTTTATTAGCTCAACTCGTCAAGAAAATACGCTCCACCTTGAGGTTAAACATAAGTGATATTGTGTTACATACGGATTCAACTATTCCATTGGCATGGTTAAATACACCTGCCAATCGTTTAAAAACCTTCGTGGCCAATCGTGTCGCCAAGGTGCAAGAATGGACCATGTGCCATCTGTTCTCAACCCAGCAGATCTTGTGTCTCGGGGATTGCGCCCTTGTGACCTTCCAAATTTAAGGTTATGGTGGCATGGTCCACAATTCCTTGAAAAAGGTAAGTTGTCAAGTGAAGAAACAAGTTTGTCACCAGTTAAGGAATGCGAGTATTCTAAGGAACTGAAAACTGGTTCGAGTTCTGATATAATTACATCTAGTGTTTGTGTTTCAACTAATTGTGTATCTTCTATTTTATCTACATTGTTACGTAAAATTAATAGTTATATGAAAATTGTTCGTATATTTAGTTATGTGTTAAGATTTAGTAATAATGTAAACAAACGTAAACTAACATTGAGTGGTCCCCTTTCTGCTACAGATATAGACCAAGCAGAAACTAAACTGATCAGAATGGTCCAAGAACAGGCTTTTTTTGGCTGAAATTAAGAGCTTACAAAGTAAAGGAGTTGTCTCACCTAATAGTAAACTTAGAAATTTAAACCCCTTTATAGACAGTGATGGATTATTGAGAGTTGGAGGCCGGCTGAGTAATTCAGATTTACCTTATGTTAATAAACATCCTGCAATTTTACCAGGAAATCATAATTTAACTGTTCAAATAATTGTCCACTTCCATAGAAAGAATCTGCATACTGGTGAAGTTCTGGCCATTAAATGGTCGTTCATTATGCAGAAAAGTAGTGTATGAGTGCCTTGTCTGTTTTAAAGGCCGACCCCTTGTTACCTCTCAGCTAATGGGTAATCTACCCCGTGATAGAGTAGTCCCAGATTACCCGTTCAACTGTTCTGGTGTGGATTTTTGTGGCCCATTCATGATCAGGTACAATAATCAAAGAAAAGGAATTTTGCATAAAATTTATATTTGTGTATTTGTATGTTTTGTGTCTAAAGCGATTCACATAGAAATTGTGTCAGATCTTACATCTGATGCTTTTATTGCTACATTAAAAAGATTTTTTAGTCGCAGAGGTAAATGTGCTAAATTGTATTCCGATAATGGGAAAACATTTGTGGGTGCCAATAAAGAGCTCAAGAGATTTCTAAAACTTATTGAGGATTCAGATGATAATTTAGCAGGTTTCTTATCTGCTGAGAGTATAGAATGGAAGTTTATACCACCTAGAGCGCCATTCTTTGGTGGTCTTTGGGAAGCTTCGGTTAAGTCAATAAAGTACCATCTTAGGAGAGTTTTCAGTGGCTCAAATTTAACCTATGAGGAATTTTTAACTGTTTGTATCCAAATAGAGGGAATTTTAAATTCCAGGCCACTGTGTGCCGTTTATCGAGCAATTTGGATGACTTGAATGCTTTAACTCCAGCCCACTTTTTGATAGGGAGGTCTATGACTTCAGTAGTCGAGCCCAATTTAATTGAATTAAAAGAGAATGCCCTTAAAAAATGACAACGGATAACCAGACTAGTACAACTAATTTGGAATAAGTGGCACAGATGTTATCTTAGTGAATTACAACAACGCAATAAATGGCAATTTAAAAAACAAAATGTTAACGTGGGTGATTTGGTAGTTCTCATTGAAGACAATATGCCAACCTTTAAATGGCCTTTAGGGAGAATCACTGAGATTATAGTGGCAGTGATGCACTAATAAGAGTTGTAAAAGTAAAAACACAATTTGGAAAATATAAAAGAGCCATTTCAAGAGTTTGTCTTTTACCTATGCCAGTTTGAATGTTGTCTCTGAATATTGTGTATTAGAATTTTTATATGTACCTTAAATTGTTTTACGTAATCCTATAGTATTTTATCGTTTTATTGTAATTTGTGTTATTGTTGAATGTATTACATGTCAACGCGGGGAGAATGTTCATGCTTGTCGCAAAAACCGTGCGTCAGATGGCGCTGTCTGTGTATCTCTAGTTACTATGTGTTTAGGTGAATAAAAATAGAGAGTGTTTTACAGTCCATGTGTGAGGTGTGTGTTATTGAGCTATCCCGGGTGTAGTGATCAAACACATTTCTATTTGAAACATTTGGTACGGATAATGTTTTAAGAATAAACTGAATTTTATCTAGTCTCTTGCATTGCATTTTTCCTCTCTATTCCCTTCTTTATTTATTATTAGTAATTAGCTCACTGAGTATTTCATGATAATGTGTTTGACTGTATATTTTTTAAGTAATTTATTCCAAGTCTTAGCATTAAGCTTTCAATTGTATTCAAAAACTTTTTTATAGCCTTTCTCTTTTTGATTTAAAAGGGAAGGACTTGAATTTCTAAAACGGAATATATTTATGTCTTACTCCGTAGTAACCCCTATCCCTTTGGCTGTCAATTTCCAAAAATCCTGTTCTTTAAGAACTTCTACTCAATAACAAAAAAGAAAAAAGAAAAACAAAAAAAACCATGCTTACCAAATTTCAAATATGTAGGTTACATGGTTCAAAAACGGCAATTTTTATCTATAACACCTCCTGCAGCATCCATGGATGTCAATTTCATCAAACCTCATTCATACCATATCTCTACTCAACAAAAGATACTTGCTTGTCAAATTTCAAGTCTCTAGGTCTAATACATCAAAATCGCATTTTTTTCGTATTTATTTTTGGTGACGATTTCCGCAAAACCCGTTCTTAAATGTTGCTAAATCAAAATATGTATTCAAATGGATATATCGTTTTCTTAACATGAGTGGGAACAGTTTTCCTTTATTGGCAGCATATCAAGGTATTTGGTGACTTCTTTGTTGTTGTTTCTAATGCCACCTGTCTGACGTAGTCATATCGAGGCCCACGAAATTCATCGTAACAAGGGGTTGGAAGTACGCCTGTCGTTGGCCTTGAGCACCATACAGGTGACAGTACAAATCAGCTTGGGGAAATTCCCCTAAGGGACGATAAATGGCGGCACCACCAATCTCCACCTCCACAATTTTGGCATAGAACTGAAGAGGAGGGAAATATTCTCCAGTCCCCTGCACTTGGGATTCAGAGCCCACAAGACTTTCGGACCCACTGATTTAACGAGAACGTACTCCGTGTGTACTCGGAGGGTATTTGGTGGCATCGGGCATCGAACCCAGGCCTTCCTGTCTGAATTCCGATTCTCTAACCCCTAGGCTACCCACGACCCAAAAACGATCTGACGAATTAATTTTCCGAAGAAAGATAAAGTTTATTAAAGCAATTTTGAAAAGTGAGCTTCTGGGAATCGAACCCAGGGCTAGACATTAGAAGAGTACTACTTTAACCACTAAACCACGAGTGACTCAAACGCAATACAAACTTCGAATTTAATACAAACTCTTTAAAAAAACTGAAAAGAATTTTTTTTTTTTGGTGGAAATATATTTACGGTTCTTTTAAAGCATCAGAGAAGCTCCTTGCAGAATTTTTGAATATTTCAATGGTGTTGATTTGTATAAGTCTCAAACAAATATGCAAATATTTACATTTATATAAAAAAAATTAGACTATTTACTTCAATTAAATAAACCGATTTCTTTGAAAGTGGTGCTGGTCCATTTTTGACAAAAAGTTAGTTTTTATAATATTGAATACAACCAGCTGTAAGCCTTTAATCTATGAACAGTTCTCCAAAAAATTCTTCGAATTTTTCATCATTTTATCAGTATAGATGGTTACAGATGGTTACATTTTATAAGGAACTGGGATACGTCAATCCCTCAGTCCTCTATCTTGTTTTAGAATCGGCTTGGTTTTGCTCCTTGGTTGGTGATGGTGGGCGTGGAAATCGGTGGCAGGAACCAATGGGATAGCAGGCGCATGACTTCTCATGAGTGGCTTTGATTGGATGATGGGAGTGAGCTTCAAAAATTGTACTTGGGAAATTTTTTAAAGAGTAGCTATTGATGTTAAAGTTTAACAATTGAAGGTAAAATATTCAAGGAAATAAAATGAAAATATAATAAATTTTGTAGAAAGAGAAATTACGGAAAACATTGAGTTTAAAATTTATCTAACATAGCTTCGAAAAGAAGTAAAGCCTTAGCTTTATCATCTTCAGAGTTTTTTAATTTGGGAAGTAATTGGAAAATTTCAGGTAATCTTTTATGATGTTAAAATCATGCTGACCAGTTCAATCACTTGAGCTAGGTCTGAATTTTCATTTTCAATGGCTGGATTCCGTGGGAAACTTTGTTATTTGAATTTTCCTTAGTTTTTTCAGTTAATCCATGTGAACTGGGGTGGGGGTGTAGTGGGCTTTTGTTCCGCTAACAATGTTAAAAGAGACACCTTCCCTACGAACGTTGCTTTCGAAAAAAATTCGCGGTAAAGGGGCGTGCCCTTTTTTGGCTTAGGGAACTTGGGCATTTGGTGTAGCAGGCCGAATGATCATATTCTGGAGAGTGGCAATTTATGCAGAATGGGTTTTCCTGTCGCCCTTTATCGGACATTGAGGGTGGGGTGTTCTTTTCCACACTTTAGACATCTTGATGCATCTGGTGGCAGTTTTTCCGTGTGAAAGAAATTAATTGCAGTTAAAACATTGGGTAATTTCTAATTTAGGTAACCTTCAATTTCAACTTGCATGTAGCCGACAGTTTTGAGATCGAAGATTTTTTGATTATTGGCATTGCGGGGGAAGGTGACTTGAAAAAACTGGGAGAGCATCTTAGTTTTCTAAATGAGAAATTAATTGGGAAACATTTTCAATTGTGAATCCTTCTTCTAGGTCGGATTGTATCATCGTGAGTTTTGGTAAAAATGGGAAGTCCTTTAATGACTATTTTGATTGGTTTTATTGGCTTTGGTTTAAGTGAGAAAAATTCAAAATCTTTGTCTTCTTCAAGAAAATTTGTAAGAGCGTGATACTCTCTTCTATGTCATTAGTGATTAATTTAATAAATTCTCCTGACGATTTGTTAGTGATATCTGGGAATTTTTGATAAATGGATTTAAGTTGGTCTCTGATATTTTTCTTAATTTTAAGATGAATTGGGGGAGGGGGCTTGGGTTTTGGGTGCGCTGTTTCATTATTTTCTTTCGGAGCAACTCGATCCTTATCAGTTTCAGTTCAAGATCTGAGAAACTATTATTTACAGTGACTGGCTCACTAGATAAAGGAGAGACAGATCTAGCTGTTTTATGGGGGAAGATAAAGTCTTCTACAGAATCCTTTTTTATTAATTTTACGTTTTTTATTTTTAGCATTATTTGCATTTGTAGGTGCTTCAGAATAATTTTTTAAAATGTGATTAGAATCACTATCTTTATGCTTTTCAGTCGGTATTGGGGGGAGTACAGTAATTACCATTGCAATTAAAAGTCATACATAGGGGAGGGAACGAAGCTCACTCACCATTGTATCCTTTTTTCTTTGGGTATCATCAATGGAGTCCCGAAGAATGGCCTTCATCTCGTGGTTATCATCGGTGTCTGGAAAGTTGACAAGTTCAGTGCAGCGATTGATAACTATGTCAAGGGCTTCGATTTCCAGCGAAAGCCTGTTTCTCTCTTCGCAGCTGTTGGTAATATCTGGTGGATCGGTTTCCATTTGTGCCATCAGGACGGAAATAGAATGCAAGTCGGAGCTCAGAAGAACACGTCTGCTCTGGTAGAAATCATACCGTCTTCCTAGCGTCAGCACTGATTTTATCAGTATAAATTTACATTGTTAGTAAAATTACAAATATAATTACTTTAAAAGTGGTAAATATCTCCATGTAATATAAAATAAACTTGCACCACTTTCGAGAAAAATGGTTCAAATAATGACTTCTTAATAAAAATATTTTAGATATTCAGATATATATATATATGTAAATAAAATTGTAAATACAAAAAAGAAAAGCTGATTTTAATTGAAAGTTTTATTTAAGGAATTGTAACATTTAGGTATTTCCTGGACATCTGTTTTGTTTTTATTGGTCAATTGAACTGAAAGCCTTAATGTTTTTAGAAATTTAGTTTACTGAATAGATTTTTAAAGTTTTATAGGTACCTCCTCCCTTCTTTAAATTTTTGTATTTCCCCCTTCTTTTTTTAAATTTAAATTTGTATCTTAAATTTATTTTAATTTTGTTTAAATTTTGTAATGCTGATGCCTCTTATATCTGTAAGCATGGAGTCTTACAAAGCAATTAATTAAGAAAATGGGGAAAAAATTATAATTTGTTTTCTTTTTCAATTTTGAAGGTTTTCAGAAGAAAGATAAATGTTACTTTTTACCCGCCTAGTATTTATTTCTTTAATAATTTCCCTAAAATATATATAAAATTAAACATATTTTGTCAGTTTTTATTAGAAGCTTTCGGTTGGTCAAAATTTGTGATGAGAAGAAATAACAGTTTTGTAATTTGTTCTCAATTCCTCTTAAATGGTTTCTTTTAGGTTTCAATATAAATGAAATTTAAAGAGAATGTACTTTATAACATATAGTTTGAAAATGCAATCATATGATTTTCTATTTTCTTGATAATTGTATTTGACTTAGATTGTAATTTGGTTGAATAATATACTTAGACTTGCTTCAAGTTTGTAATATTTCAGTCAATTTCTGATGTACACTCAGGAACATTGAAAATAGCGACCCAAGAAGGAAGCTAAGTACAATCGCGAAACTTTGCAAATAAGTACAGCTTAATGTGATATGCAAATGATCAAAGTTTTGTGCCAATACGCATGCTCATACACGCCAAGGTGGCGCTACAATCAGGAAGAGGGTGCAATATAAGCCAGCGCAAATTCGAAGATTCATAAACGTGACGATTACCCGCCGATTGTAGGAAGACTTTGGTAAGCGAAACATGCCAGGTAAACGTGCTAGAAGACATTTCTCACAGTTAAGCAAGTTTGAGAGAGGCCTTATCATCGGGATGAAAACTGCAGGCTGGTCGACGCGCCGTGTTGCTGGCCAGGTGGATCGTTCGGAGTGTGCCGTTAGAAATTGTTGGGAGCAGTGGACACGAGAAGTTACCCACGCGCGGAAAAACCGGGTCTGGAGCGATCAGGAAGACCACGAGGAGAGAGAATCGAAGAATCGTGCGGCAAGCACTTGTGGACCTCACAGTGACTCGTTCAACGATACGAGCAGACGTAGGCGTAGCAATTGTTCCACAAACAATTTCCAGACACCTTGCAGAAGCAAATCTTAAATCCAAGCGCCCTTTCTGTGCACTCCCTTTAACACCAGACCATCGGCAACTGCGTCTACAGTGGTGCCAAGCCAGATCAATGTGGAATGTCACAGATTGGCAAAAGGTTGTGTTTAGTGATGAATCCCGGTTTGTTTTGGGGACTGATGATAACCTTGTACGGGTGTAGAGGCGCCCTGGTGAGTGGTACAATTCCCACCCCACACACTGTTCTACGTCACACTGCCCGCACAGCTAGTGTAATGGTCTGGGGGGCCATAGTCTGTGATAGCCGGTCCACTTTAATTGTGATGCGTGGAACCTTAACGATCCAACGTTACGTTGATGATATTCTTCGACCCCATGTAGGACCTTTCCTAAATGGTCTCCCAGGGGCAATGTTCCAACAAGATAATGCTCGTCCGCATACAGCAAGAGTTGCTCAAAACTTCCTACGTAATTTTCAGACTCTTCCATGGCCGGCCCGCTCCCCCGATTTGTCCCCTGTAGAGCACGTGTGGGATCAGCTAAAACGGCAGATGCCATCGTGTCACTCTGTACATGATTTAGAGTTGGCTGTTCAAGATTTGTGGCCCCATCTGCCTTAGGACCACATAAGGTGTCTATTCAACTCAATGCGGGACCTTGTAGCGGCATGTATTGCAGCTGGAGGTGGTCCAACGCGCTATTGAAGTTGCCCAGTATTTGTGTCGTTGCAGACCCTATATTCGTTTAATTGTCTTGTTTTTTAGATCAAGTGAATCTCTCATCTGTGTCATTATGTGTATTAAGTTTCATTTCAATCCAATGCTTTCTTCTTGGGTCGCTATTTTCATTGTTCCTGAGTATATTTGGAAATATGTTATCTTTACATACTGTTTTCTGTGGAGGATACTACTAAAAAGGTCATCTCATTCCCCTAACTTCCACACAACAACGTATTCACAATAGAAGGAAATAAGTCAATTTCAGTAGACTCTACCTTCAGTAGACTTATAATCCCTTACATTCCTTTCCCTTAAATTTATTTATACAAAATCTGATAGCAGTTTTTAATGTTATTTTTAAAATGCGATTATCTTTCTAAATATAACTGAAATTTTGAGAATATTTCTGAAATATTTAAAATCATTTTTAAAAAAAAAATAACACGTAAAATACAAGT